TTTGTTGCTGAGAGAGACTTCGTCGTCAGATGAAGATGCGAGGGAAGAAAATGCAAAGGTCCCCAAAGCAGCTCCAAGAGAAGAACCAACAAAAGCTGAGCCGATTGACTTCGACAAGCTCTTTCCTGGATGGTGGGAGGGTGGCCAACACTTGGCTGAATGTGAGTGCGGTTTTTGTTTGCTTATACTTGTACCATTGTTGGAGCAGCGAAACTTCCAGCGAAGTAGCTGCCAGCTCAACAGCTTCAAACAGTGTTGATTTGGGTAAAGCCCATCAACGCCAGACGCGGCTTGACTTTAACTTGAAAATGCAAAGTGGGCTGTAGGATATTACTGCTTGTGTTTCTCAACACGTGTTCAGCTCCACCAAGACATGAGACTCAAATCTGACTCCGGGGGTTGGAGGAAAAAGGTCTCAGCTGAGATTGAAGGACTCATAGAACCAAAGAGCAGAATGAAACAAATACACGACATCAATAGTGCTGCACCTTTGAGAACATGTGAGACCACTGACAACGATTCATTGAAGTTTTCCACAGTGAGGGACACGACTGCCACACTTTATGGGAAGGAAGCAATTTTGCACAAGCCTTGCAAGGGAGGTCTGGCCCGCTTTGAAGTTCAAGGATGGCCCCGAAACAATCCAAGATGATGAAGCACGGAATATTTCCGTCGCCGAACGACTGGTCGAGGCTAGCGCCAGATCTTGGACGATGGAGCAGGCCTGTTGTTGATGGCGCTGGCCTTGCTTTCAAGTCATTGAAAGTGCCCTTTACAGCCATGAATGTCTACGACCTGGAAAGACGTGACCAAACCTTCCTTGCCATTGGCCTCACAAACCCAACAGAGCCTACCTATGTTCACGCAAGTGCTATTCTCCATGCGGCTTGCCACAATGGGACGCTGGAGGAGTTTGAGCGCGACTTGAACAAGTCTTACGCGGTTCTGCAAGACTTCAAAGCCGTGGTCAGACCAAGTACCAAAAGGGGAAAGCACTCATTGGAGCTGCCGGCCGACGTCAAGTACAAGCGTGGACCACCTGTCTGGAGGCGGTGGCTCTAACCACTTGCGAAGGAAAAGAACACCACTGGCTTTGGAAGATGGTGATGTTGGTGAAGAGACGGCCAGGAAGGCAGACAACGCACTGCAGGAGGAGGGGGAAGGAACAGCTGTGAAAACGGTCGTTGAACAGGCTGAGGTGGAGCAGCGGCAGCCTGCGTCAGTTGATGCTACGGCGACAGCAATCCAGGACCAGCTGAAGGCCAACAAAGGTGAGAACCACCGAAAGCAGCGGCTGGGAAAAAACTCAACCAAAGGGAAAGGCCAGGCGCAAGGACAAGAAGGGCACTGTAAAAGGAGATGGTATCAAAACAAGAAAGGAATGGACATATCCAGGGATCCATGCTCAAGGAGCTATGCATCTTGGCTGTTGTACTGGTTACACCTGTCCCAAGAGTTCAAACTGGCGTGTCAAAAAACAGGGGAGAAGGTAGACAAGGCTTTCTCATGGCGAAAAGAAGAGCCCCGCAAGGTTTGGGAGTGTGGAGAAGTACCTGGAGGCCTTTTCAAAGTGAGGACACCCAAACATTTGGTCACACGCCTGGGAAAAATTGTCTGCAATGCCGACGCGCGGACTTTTCACAGAATAAGGATGGAGGATGTTTTTCCAAACCAATCTGCATTTGGATGTTTTCACACAACTTTGCTCAATGAGTTCTGCCAACGCCAATTTCCCCAGAACCCACCTAATAATAAAAGACACCCTGGGTCCACCCGATCACATGTTTTTTGTTATCTCAATGGGCTCATTTCCAAAGGGCGAGCCTCAATGGAAAATCAAATTGGAAGCAAGACATATTGCGAAGGTTTTGCTGATTGAATAACAACCTGGGTTTAAAAACACGGCCGGCGAAACCACTTCTGAATACATATAAATGCGCCCGACCAATTGAATCAGTGTGGAACACATTCCCCAGTTCAAAATCTTAGTTTTTGCAAAATTTTGAAAAAGTCAACGTGAGGGAGTTATAACTAGTTAAAGTTAACGAAATTTTAAACGAGCGCTATGTATATATAACTGCAGTTGCAAGCCAATAAGCGCAAAAACCATCTGCGCGCGCGCGCGTGAGTGAGTGAGTGAGTGAGTGAGTGAGTGAGTGTGTGAGTGTGTGAGTGTGTGAGTGTGCGAGTGTGTGAGTGTGAGTGTGAGTGAGTGAGAGTGAGAGTGAGAGTGAGTGTGAGTGTGAGTGTGAGATGAGGGAGAGTGAGCGTGAGTGTGAGTAGTGAGTGTGAGTGTGAGCGCGAGTGAGAGCTTGAGAGTGAGAGTGAGAGCGTGAGAGTGAGTGTGATTGTGAGTGTGAATGAGAGTGAGTGTGAGTGAGAGTGAGCGTGAGTGTGAGATGAGTGAGTGTGAGCGTGAGCGTGTGTGAGTGCGAGTGTGAGAGTGAGAGCGAGAAAGAGTGAGAGTGAGAGAGTATCTGTCTGACAGCACAAAGTGCTGCGCATGACGCGAATTGCTGCGCCTACCACGAAATCAGCGCTTCGATGTTCACAAAGTGCCGCGCCTGCCACGAAATCTGCGTTCCAAGATTCACACGCGGCTGACAAGGTGTTTCGCCGCAAGAATGCTTCCAAGGACAACGTCCAGCTACCAAAACGCAGCTTTTGCGCGAGACTTCCCCCGATTTCTGTAAACGACCCACGCGTCCAAAAGTCACAATTCACTGCACCTGGCACGAAACTAGAGCGCATCGAAGATCACCGTGCACCATGTCCAAAGTGCTGTGCCTGCCATGAAATCTGCATTTCGAAGCAACACCGCTCCGATCCCTTGCACCTGTCACGAAAAGTCGACTTTGGACCACCAAAACACGAGGTTTTCCTTGCGCCTGCCACGAAAAAGTGACCACCATGTCCGAAAATGTGCGTGGCGCCACAACGAGAGCGCAGTCGCGACAAACGCAGATTCTGCGACCGTGCGCAGTCAAAATGCATTTCGCGGATTTCGAGAGGCGTGAATGTACTGTAAATAGCAGCGAATTAGCCGGGCGCCCTGGTGCAACACCTCGATTAGACACCCGGTGCTCAAGAATTACTGTAAGAACGCCTAGTGTGACCACATTGCTTTCGGGCAATTGTCTGAACGTTCAAAAAGCTTTGTAGTGTGCTTTTTCTCATTGGTTAATCGGAATCTTGGGCGCACAAACTTGCAATATAAAATGTGTCACGCAGTGCTTTAAAAACCTCATTTTGCCTAAAGAGATCGTGTGCTACCAATTGACCTTTGAACCAGGGCCCAAGCAAAGCCGGGCTGGTGCCGTCATCTACGGTAGTCGAACTCGCCTCCCACCTCTGAACCAGTTGACCCCACCGCAACATGGTGCATTGCACCACAAACCACTATGTGACAAACCACTTGACTACGTCGTACGTAGTCGCAAACCGCTACTCGTTGCAGCACTACATCACACATGATGATCACTACGTATCGCATCACTCACGTGCATTATATATGTGCCAATATAACAACGACTTTTGACCACGCTGTAAACGGCCAGACATCGCGCTCACCACATCATTCATTCGGCGTCGCCTCACTATACGTTGCGCTTCGCAACTCACCATGCAACAACTCGTCGCGCAGCAGATCCAGAACGCACACTACCCAACTCACTCTTTGTGTGTGCGAATCGCTTGACGTAGTGTTTCGTTACAATAAATGCATTTTTGCGGATACTTTGTTGTTGTTAGTCAAGGACGCTGCCTGTAGCCTATAAGCCTTAAACTGGATGCAGATGCAATGTGATAGTGAGGCAGTTCTATCACAAAACAATTCTACGTGAGCTCATCTATGTATATGATTTCCAAACAAACTTTTCTATACGTCAGATGTTGACAAGCTATTTAGCTCATGTCAATTCAATCAAAGATTCATCAATGGTCAGTAACACCTCTTATTGGGGCTGTGCCACCTCATTTTGGACACGGATAGGCAAGTCAACATGTCAAAACCTCGAGAATCCGCTAAGTTTTTGGGCCAACAGAACAGGATACAATCTCACCGAAGAGCAGACGCAGTCCAACTCTTTTTGGGAAGACCCAATGCCGCAATGCCGTTGGCGCAAATATATAGTTAGGTAACATATTTGGTTCAGCGGGTTATTGCGTACAGCCATTCTCATGGTGACCCAGTGGATCCAGTGTTCCTACAACTCCCCACTGTAATACTTCACAGGATTTCACATATGTGAGGCGTCGACGGCTAAGGCCTGTAGCCTTGCTTATTGACCTCGCCAGGCGAACCTCTAGTCCTCACAACCCGCATCGGTGAAGTGTTCGAGTTTGTTCCTACTCCGTCAGTGGTTAACCATGGTTAACCCATTATAATACAGCCACTAATACAGCCTTTTTGGTGATTTGTTTTCCAGCTTAAACATGAACGGTGAGAAAAGGCTAACCTTGGTCTTTGTCCAGGGAAACTGAGGAGGCCAGTGACTTGATGGCTTGACATCATTACCTGGCAAGTGCGGGAGGTCCTTCTTGAATTCTTTTTGTTATATTTGACAATGGCTTTACTGAGACTGATCCTTGGTTCGAGATGCCACTAACAGTTAACATTTCGGAATGCTTTAGAGGTCGGCAGTGAAGACGATGCAGAGGAGCAATGTTAATATTTGACCTCGTCATGCTTGTTCCATTTTAGATATATTATATAGATCTTATCTTCAAAAGGATTTGTGTTGGGGACGACGATGCGCAATGGCCAATTACAATTTCAAAGCAAATCGCCATTTGTCAAACCGCCAACCACATGACATCTAAGTTCACACAAAAGGACGCTTCTTCATGCTCTGCGTGCTCAAAAAGTGGTTCTTTGCTTCAAAATTGAGGCCTACTCAATTCCATGTCCTCCAAGGCATGAGCTGGATAGAGGCATTCCATCACCATGAGTCACAGTGGAGGGAGTGTTTTGTGATGTTTGCGCTGGCAGTGCGGCAGAGGAGTTAAAGACAGTTTGCTGAGTGGACTCTCCACATTCTTTCGAGAGGATGAGTCTCAGCTGGATGTTGCATTGTGGTAGCCAGAAGGGTTGGGATAAGTCACCACCAGCCTTTAAGAGCCCCTAAGCACTCTGAGCGTCAAAGATCAGCCACGAAGTCTCAGAGTACCTAAGCCAGTGCCTAAGCCTCAACCTCTGAGCCCCTAAGCCTCTGGGCGCCTAAGCGCAAATAAGGTGCTCAAGCCGAAGGAAAGGCCTGAAACAAAGGCAAGGTATTGAAACGATGCTCTAAGGTTGGCTTGGGAACGAAGGGAAGAACTCTGAACGAAGTGAAAGGCATTGCAAAGCTGGAAGACAGGTTCTGTCGCAAGAAGCAGGATTCCAAGAGACAGGAGGCATGAAAAACATGTCATTGAAGCGCAGGGAAAGGATTAAATCATAGGACATATGGGAAACGAATGGCCAATAAAAGGCTTCAGAACGAGGAGCAGCGAGTGCAAGGAAAGGATTGAATAAGCGCCAGGAAGGCTGCTTTTGAAGCAATGCTTCTCAAGAAGCGGTCTGTTTTCTTGAGCCAAAGTGTTAGTGGGTTTGTTTGGGGGTTCACGAAAGTGTCTCGCCTGCACACTCCTCGATTTGTGCGTCTCCGTACTCCCCCCGCCGTCCAACGGCGCTTCGGAGCTTGTCCTGGCTTTTTCCAGGAAGAAAGTCATGCCACGCCACTCCCCAGGTCCTGGCAACTCTTCTCGTCGCCAGTCACTGTCGCGGCAAATGCGGTGTGCCGGATCATCACGTTTGCGTGCGATGGCGACCCGAAAAAGCACTAGATCCCACGCGCTCACCGGACAACTCCGGCGCTCAGGGTGAAAGCGCTGCGCTCGAGGACAATGTCGCCGCACCAGCCACAAAGCGGAGGAAGTCCCAGGTGTCTGTCCGGACAACCAAGCGGTGCATGGGCGCCTCCTCTTCCAAGAGTTCCTGGATATTGGTGAACAACTCATCATGCCACCAGACACTGACGGCTGGATGCTGATCTGGTCACCCATCAGCCCTGTGATGGGAGGGCGCAGCATGCCATATGGACGTTCTCGTGGCGGTTGATAGCCACGAACAGGAGTGGGTGGAGATCCAAGGTCAACGCCCGCTCTGGCTTCATTGGCGGCCCCCGCCAGCTGCCTTGTGTGGAGCTTGGGCTGGCTCACAAAATCGAGGGCGTAGTACCAATTGGTGGAAAAGGGCTCCATGACAATATCCGGCCCAGGGGGTTCACCAGGAACCTACCTACGTTTGCGTGGTGTTCAAAAACATTGCGTTTTGCAAGGTTTATGGCCCTTCGGATGTCATGGATTTCATCTTGGCGATGTCAAAAAATCGCAATTGTTTACGTGGTTTTGGCTTCGGAGAGGGGGTCTGGGACGGCAAAAGTCGCATCTTAAGAGTATGTCAACATAAATCGCAAAATCCATCAACATAGCTCCAACATAGGCCCAACATAGCCCCAAGATGGGCCAACTTAGCCCCAAGATGGGCCAACATAGCTCCAGGATGGGCCAACATAGGCCCAAGATGGCACGACATAGACCCAAAATGGGCTCAACATTGCCCCAAGACCACCCCACATAGCCCAAAGATGGGTTCGACCTGACAACAAGAACAACAACAACAACAACAACAGCGACGACAATCCCTCCGTCCACTTTCTTTGCTCTTCCCCCTTCTCCCTGTTTTGGGCTCCTGGCCGGCTGTCGGGCGTAAGCCCTTACTTAGATGGGCGTGGGTGTTCGCACCTATTTAAGGGTCTTAGGCCTTCATAGTAATGAATTGATAACAAGTTGTAAGTCAGTTGTAACTAATTCTATTCCTGCTAACTGAAATATAACAAACCTAATACAATTAAGGTAGTTATGTAAATATTTTCAAAAGTTAGCTAACGTCTTAAAATTCTTAATTTTCTATTTCCTGCTGACTAGTTAGCAACGCTTCAACTAACTCTAACTCAATTTTGCTAACTAGTTAGCTAAAGGTATGTAATTTGAACATCCAAGTTTTTATTGGGTGAAATGATTAGTTTTAAAAATTATTCTTGGTTGAAATTCAACAAGAAGTTGTGTCAATGAACAAAACTATATTGTTCACCAAATAGTACAATGTATTCTGGACTGACATAGAAATGTGCGCAAACAAAGAATAGGTTTATCAAAAGCATTTTTGTAAAACATGTCTTGGTTTATGTTTGTCGTAATCAACGCAAGGTTCCTTGATGCCAAGGCAAGATAATTTGCCTAGCGCAATGCAATCCCATGAATGGCTGTAAGCCAGCGAGCCGCAAACTGGCTTTCATACAAGCCACGAGCTGGCTTTCACATGCAAGCCACATGGCTGGCTTTCACATACAAGCTGGCTTTCCAGCCACAAGCTGGCTTTCGCATACAAGCCACCATGGCAAAGTCCTTACCAATGTCTACCTATGTCCAGGTGTATGCCTTGGGTTTACTCCCTGGGGCTCAGAAAGCGATGTGAGAGTTTTGTTGTTTGTACCCAGCGCTTGTTCGCATTTATCTCTTTACTTCCCAAACTGAGGAATCCAACCTGGTGGCAATATGTTCAATACCATGGATGCAGGGATGGTTGGATTTGGGCGTCTAAGTTGAACCTAAACTGCTGGTACCGTGGCACTACCTGGAGGGCTAGCTGAGGAATGAACTTGGGCCTGGTTGTATTAGCAAGGGCTGGGCCAAAGAGCTCATGTGAAAAAACAGGTGTACATTTGCGCGGCAGTTTTTTTCTCCAAAGCCCATGTGGCTATCTCTTATTGCTGATTGGTTCTCCAAACCCATTATGGCTCTTTTTGTAACACGATTGTCTCCATAGCCTTTTTGGCTATCTCTGTTTTGGTTTTGGTTTGAAAAGCAATTATTTGTATTTCTGCATGTTTCAAAGCTGTCCTTGCTATCTCTTTTGTTCACATTATTTGACAAAGCCAGTATGGTTTTTTCTGTCGCCTTCAACGCCTCCTTGGCTATTAGTGTTTTGTTTGGTTTAAAGCCTTCATGGCGACCTCTAATTGTTGCGCAGTGCTTTGAAGGAATATGGATATTGATACTGATATTGACGTACAGTGAGATGAGGTTCAAGTTCCTGGAAATCATCAACGAAACAAAGGAGTAGAACCATTGGATAGACCAACTGCAAACCACATAGGCTCAAGCTCTCTATGGCCTTTGCCAAATGACGCAATATCAAATACAAAGTGGAAAGACATTTGTACAATGTTTCATAAACAGACCTCATAGCCATTCAATCCACTTGTCACAACGAGGTATTGTAAGTTCAGAAATCTGAATCTAACTGTCGGGATTGAGATTTAAGTTCCAAATTTTGAACCTAACTGTAAGGGTTGAGTTTTTAAGGTCAGAACTCTGAACCCAACTGTCAGGATTGAAATTTTAAGTTCAGAATTCTGAACCCAATTGTCAGGATTGATATTTTAAGCTCAGAATCCTGAACCTAACTGTCAGGATTGAAATTTTAAGTTCAGAACTCTGAACCCAACTGTCAGGATTGAGATTTTAAGTTCAGAATTCTGATCCTAACTGTAATGATTGAGATTTTAAGTTCAGAACTCTGAACCTAACTGTAAGGATTGAGATTTTAAGTTCAGAACTCTGAACCTAACTGTCAGACACTTCACTGCTTTGATTTCATCAAACCGAGTGTCACCAAAAAATATTGTCCTGCGAGCCACGCCGGTTGACCCCAGGAACGTGAAGATGATAGCCTTTTAGGCATTAGGTTTTGCTTCCTTGTTTTTTCCACAGTTTTAGTCATCAATCTTTTTCCTTCAACTCCCTCGCCTAAAAAATGCCAACATTTTTAGTTCTATGGTGTTGTTTTCTTAATTTCCTTCACAAAAAACTATTGTCCACAGCTTTTGTCATCAGATTTGTTTCCTTCGGTTCCCTCACCATAAAGTTTGTCCACAGTTTTAGTCATTAGGTTTTGTTTCCTTAATTTGCTTCACAAAGTTTTTTTGGTTCACAGCTTCAGTCATCAGATTTTGATCCTTCAGCTCCCTCACCAAAAAATGTACACAGTTTTATTCTTTTGTTTTTGCTTTCCTTAATTTCCTTCGCCAAAATTTTGGCCCACAGCTTTAGTCATCAGATTTTGTTTCATTCAGTTCCCTCACCAACAAAAAGCACCAGACTGTTTTAGTCATTAGGTTTTACTTCTTCAATTTCCCTCTCAAAAGAAATTGTCCACAGTTTTAGTAACCATTTTTCTTTCAATTCCCTCGCCCAAAAAATTGTAGTTTTAGTCTTTTGGTTTTGTTGACTAAATTTCCTTCACCAAATTTTGGTCCGCAGCTTTAGTCATCAGATTTTGTTTCCTTCAACTCCCTCACCAAAAATAACACAGACAGTTTCAGTCATTAGGTTTTACTTCTTCAATTTCCTTCCCCAAAATGCCCACAGTTTTAGTCATCATTTTCTTTCAATTCACTCACCCCAAAAAATTGTCCACAGTTTTAGTCCTGTGGCTTTGCTTCCATAATTTCCTTTACCAAAATTTTGGTCCACAGCTGTAGTCATCAGGTTTTGTTTCCTTCAACTCCCTCACCAAAAAAGCACCAGACAGTTTTAGTATGTGTTTGTCATTAATTTTTGCTTCTTCAATTTCCTTCACCAAAACATGTTGTCCACAGTTTTATTCATCAGTTTTGTTCCCCCAGCCCTCTTACCGAAAATTGTCCACAGTTTTAGTCCTTGCTGCGCTTGCATCTTTCACTTTTAAAGCAATTGTTTGGCTATGTTTGGCTTTTCCTGTTGTCAATTCATCTCATTCTTTTTAATCCAGTTTGTGGCTTTTGCTGGTGACATCAATCTAAAGCCTTTTGGTTTCGGCCTTCAAAACCTGCAAGCCATATGCGGCGTTGGCTGATTGCACTGGATGAAGCCTTTTTGTTGGCTTTGGTTGTGTACTGAATTAAGCCTCCTGGGCTTTGGCCTGAGACCCTCCAGTTTTGTGAAATGATGATTTTGAAAATCACC